TTTCCCCTACCTTCCCCCCTCACTTCCCCCTCCCCTTTCCCTGTTTCAATTTCATCATGGGGAGAACCCTGCTGTCTAGTAAGTTATATTATTGAAACACTCCCAAGTACTTATGGAAGATACTGTTTTCATTGGCATGTGGCCCTGTAATGATTAATTTTGAAATCCAAAGGATTGTACTGGAAAGAGAGAGGTAAAGTTGATTTAATTGATATATCAACCCCGTGGATTACAGTAGAAAATGTTTCAATTTTACAATTGGCATATACAGGTGGTGCAAGTCCATGTAAATTCCATCATACAATACATGGAAAAACTGTAGCTGCCTAGCTGGGTGGGTGCATGAGGGCAAAAGCGCTGATAATTATCATGACATGTTTTGTGAGCTGACCACAAGGGTGTACAGACCCTGGCGTTCACCCAATGGGCCATGTTCTAGGCTAAACTGAGAGTACCTGAGAGCAACTAAGTGCCATATATTTTAGCTTTAAAAGCATAAAATCAATCATTGCTGTGTAAGTGATAGTGCATATCTCTGTATTGTATTTCATTTAGGTTCAGTCTGCCAACAACTGGGAGGCTGCTGATCTGGGTAATGAAGATCGTAAGAACAAGTTTCTTCGACTGATGGGATCAGGAAAGGTAAATCACAGCTGACAGTGATTATATGTTGCATCATATGCTGATTTAATTTCTCCATTTAAAATATAATTACACTACAAATATATAAATCGGTCCTTTCACTGCAGTAAAATTTCCTATCAAATTTGATTCTTAACATTTTTCTAGGGAGTATTTAACACAGAGGTTTTCACTCAAAACTATGGTTTCTACTACTGTATATTAACATGCTAACTTCATTGTTCTGCAGAAAGATCATGCAGGCAAGTTGCATATTCAACCGATTCCTGCCACAGAGGCACATTTGCGAACCCGTGAGTCATATATTTGCTATGTTTTCCCATTTTCATCTGAACTAAATGAACTCAAACGTCACATATTTATTATATGTGGTAAAAACGTCACTGACTGGTCAAGTCAATATATATTAACTAGCGGGATACCCGGCATTGCCTGGGGAAATCAGTGGCGTTACTCAGTTGGTGACCGCTTGGTTGAAAGGAAAATACTCCAAAAAGTGTAACTATCTATCTATCCATGCATCCATCCATCCATCCCATTCCATGCCATCCCATCCTATCCCATCGCACCACATCCCATCCCATCCCATATCCCATGCCATGCCATGCCATCCCATGCCATCCCATCCTATCCCATCGCCCCCCATCCCATCCCATCCCATATCCCATGCCATTCCATGCCATCCCATGCCATCCCATCCCATCCCATCGCCCCCCATCCCATCCCATCCCATATCCCATGCCATTCCATGCCATCCCATGCCATCCCATCCCATCCCATCGCCCCCCATCCCATCCCATCCCATATCCCATGCCATTCCATGCCATCCCATGCCATCCCA